CTTGTAATAGTTGTCGTATACTTCACTAAGCCATATTTAGAAAAAATATATATAAAAAGTAATGAAGTATGAGATAATATTTTTTGTTTATAAAGTTTAAAATTTTCATTGATTATCTATAAAAAAGGATTTTTTTTAAATGTTTGAAAATTTTGTTTTTAGATAGGATTGAAATTCTTTTGAATGAAAGATGATTTTGAAAAGATTCAATAGATTAATCTTGCAAATCAGTTAAACAAAAAAATTAATTTATCTCTTTAACTTAAAATCCAAACTTTTTTTTATAAAAAAAAAATTTGATCGTAAATCTTATTAGATTTAGGTCATGTTTGGTAAACAAGATTATGATAGGATATGATAAGATAATATTATAAATAAGATTATATTAAATAATGTCATTCGATTTTATGTTTGATTTGGGCAAAAATTAAGATAAGATAATTTATTTATTGATCAAAATTATCATTTTTCAAAATTTATATAATTTAAATTATTAATATAATTTTTAAGTATATAATATGACATATAAGTTTAATCTTTAAATTAAAAATAATTTCCTACTTTTTCAAATGATAGAGTTATCATATTGGCATAAGATATTTAATCTTTTTAATAATCAAATAATTTTATTTAAATGTATAACAAATATATGATAGGATAATTAATATTATGTCTTTCAATTAATCTTATGTGCAAAACTTAACTTTAAGGAATAATGCAAGCTTAATAGTTGTATCATATTTTTGGTTGCTTTATTTTTGTGGGAAAGTTTAATTTCTTTTTTCATTAATTAATATTCAAAAATATATATTAAAAAATAAAACAAATACCACTATTATCATTTTTATACGCATTGATGCAAGGAATCAATATTGTTAATGTAAGAATTATTAAATTATGCTCGTTATTAGGAATGGGAAAAGATTCTTTCAATTACTAAAAAGTAATGAAAATTTTTATTAATTTGTTTGAAGGTAAATAATATATTTTCATTTAAATTTATAATTAATATTTGTTTAAATTATTTTTTATTTTTTAATTAAGTTTTATTAATTTTTATATTCAATTTCAAATTGTTAAATATCAATCGAATGTGCATTATTTACTTTTAAATAAAATAATGAAAATTTTTACTGTTTTATAAATAGTAAAGAAAATCTGGTCCTATTGGTATTGTCAGTGTTAAAAGCTCTCTTCTCGAAATCATCCCAACCATCCATTTCCACTCCTCTTCATTCCTTACCATCCGTTCTCCTATGAAACCTTCCTTACTTTCCCCTCTTCTCAAACAACCCAAGCCCTCGTTTCTCCTATCCGCGCCATTTCTCAAAACGACAACACCCAACTCCCTGAAACGACATCCCCTTCTCAAGGACTCAAACTACTTCCTTTCTTTATCTCAATTTCCATAGGCCTCATTGTTCGTTTCCGTGTCCTCAAATCAGTCCAAGTAACCCCACAAGCCTGCCAACTCCTCGCCATCTTTTTTATCCACAACAACTGGTCTCGTCTTAAGCCCCTTACCCGACGGAGCATGGGCTTTTCTAGGCCTCACAATTTCCATCGTCACCAGAATGCTATCGTTTACAACCGCCTTCAGTGCCGTCACCAATGAAATCGTTTGGTTGATTGTCATTTCCCACTTCTGCGCTCGCGGGTTCGTTAAAACGGGGCGTGGGGATAGGATCGCTACTTTCGTCAAGTGGTTGGGAAAAAGCGCGTTGGGATTGTCTTATGGGCTGATTTTGAGCTGACTTTGAGTGAGGCCTTGATTGCGCCGGCGATGCCTGGTACTACTGCGAGAGCTGGTGGGATTTTCGTTGTCCCTGTCTGCTGGGAGTCGGGCTGGGGATCCGTCATCTCGGAAGCTTGGGAGTTATATAATTCAATCTGAGTTTCAGGTTGGCCATATTTCTAGTTTATTGGTGATGATCACCTGTTTAGTTTATTTATTTTTAATTGTTAATTTGAATTTATGGGTGGGAATAATTAATTTTATAGTGTTAAATTGTGGAAGTAGACTTTTGTTACCGTATTAGATTAACCTGGATTCTGTGTTTTAATGAGGTTAGGCTCTTTGATTTCTCCGTCCCATTTGAATTTGTGAATATCTTTGTTTCTATACATTGTTAATTTTCTCGTTGCATTAGTACCTTTGATTCATGCATTACTCATGGATCGTCTATGACAGTCTGCTGGCAACTCTAGTGCTCTTTTCCTGACTGCTGCGGCTCAAAATTTGCTATGCCTCAAATTAGCGGAGGAGCTTGGAATTATTATTTCAAGGCCCTGGGTTTCGTGGTTCAGGGCTACTAGTTTACCAGCATTTGTTTCGCTATTGGCTACTCTGCTTATTTTATACAAGCTTTATCCTCCTGAAATTAAAGATACCCCAGAAGCCTCTGTAATGGCAGCAAAGAAACTAGAGCACATAGGTCCTGTCACAAGAAATGAATGAGTTGTGGTTGGAACAATGCTGCTTGCAGTTACTCTATACGTCTGTGGGTAAGTGTCATCTCATCATACCAATTAAAGTTTCTTTGGATTCGAGCTGAGAAATTGATGTCTTCGTATCTAATGTTTTTGTGTACATGAAATTTGTATATGTGTATCTATTGAAATACCTGTGTCTTCCATAATTCCCTTGTTAGTTGTTACACTTTCTTTAAGAAGCTGTGCCTTTGTGAAGTTCTACTGTCAAGTGAATGTCATAATGAGGATACCATCTATTACTTTTGATGCTTATTTTGAAATGAATGTGTGATTACACATATGACATATCAGTTATAAAACCAGGACCTTGAGGACACCAAAAATAGGTAGAGGAAGTTTTAGATGCATCCATGAACTTAAACTTCAATCAATTGGGGGTTCGATGCTTTTGAAATAGTTTATACTGAGGAATTTAATTTGAAGTATTGAAGAATGATTGCTCATAAAAATGAGCAATCATTTGCCCTTCGCAGGTGGATTTTCTCACCAACATGCTAATAAGATTTTCACTTTTAACTGATTGTACTTTTTAGTTTTTCTGAATATACTGGTTTTGCTGGCAGCAGCAATTTTTCGTACACAGTGCCATTAAATATTTGAAAATTGGAAGTCATTCTTTTTAAATGTTGCATGCTATATTGCCCTCCCATAGTTTAAGGCAATAGAAAACTTTCTGTTGATTTTGGTTTTGCCAGCATGAATCAAATTCTTAGATTTGACTTGTATGCTTGTATAGCTCTAACCATTGTTCTTACCATTCAAGGATGATATCTATGCATTGCATGCTCATAAGCTGCACTGAAGCTATGGTGTTTATGGTTTGGTATTTGCTTCAGAATAAGTAATTAGTTTTCTGATTTGTTGATATTTCCTGAACCATTACACTGAGACTTTTGGTATACCAATTGTTGTGGCTGCAATGATTGGTTTGGCAATACTCCTTTTGTTAGGAGTGCTTGACTGGGATGACTGCTTAAGTGAAAAATCAGCGTGGGATACATTGGCTTGGTTTGCTGTTTTGGTAGGCATGGCAGACCAATTTACAAACCTTGGGATAGGGAGCTGGATGGCTGGTTGTGCAGCTAAGATCCTTCAATCTCTTTCTTTGAGCTGGCCTGCTGCATTTGGTTTTCTTCAGGCATCCTACTTTTTCATCCACTACCTACTTGCAAGTCGACTGATCATGTAGGAGCATTATACTCTGCTTTTCTTGCTATGCACTTGGCAGCTGGAGTGGCTGGTGCATTAGCAGCGCTGGCTTTTGCTTGCAGCGTCAATCTTTTTGGTTCCCTAACACATTATAGCAGTGGTCAGGCTGCTGTTTACTATGGAGATATGTCTCTATATCCTCACAAACTTTTTATGGACTACGTATTTCTCTCTCATGCATTTGTGTACACTTGCATGAGCTGCCTTTGCACACAACCACAAAGCCTACTTTTGCCTACAATTATTAGTGCTAAATGTACCTATCTCCTCGTGTGTGGACGTGCATACCCATTTGGCAAAAGATGATTCTCAAAATTCTCATGTCAATTTCCTTATTCTGCTTTTCTCCTATATACAAAAATGGTGAATTTCTTTCAAAAGCATTTGCAAGTCATCCACGAAAACAGAAAATATGTTAGGTAGTTCTTGGTATCATTTTTAAAATCATAATGGTAATGTAATTATCGAGTCGATCTTATTATCACGGTGATCTTATCAATCTTGATTTGAGATCGTTTTGTTTGATTGACAATTATTAATTTATATGAATTAAAAATCACTTTTTTTGGTATTATTAAAAATTAAACATTATTTTATATAAAAGTGACAAAATAACCATCTTTATTGTAATAATTATACAAGTTAATAATTTAAATGTTGTTTAAAGATAATAATCCGTGAAACTTAATAATATTTTATTTATTTTATAATAATATAATTGAATTTTTAAATATATTTATTTATTAAGTAAACAAATTTTTATAATAAAATTCTATAAAAAAATTTAATTAGAAAATAAAATTAATCTATTAAAATTATAATAAAAAAACAAAGACATTATATTATATATAAAACATTAGAAAAAGTAAAAAAAAAAATACACAAATTATTTTTAAATTTATTATAACGAATATAAATTTGAAAATATATAAATTTATAAAATAAAATAGTTGCAATTTTAGGATAAATCAAAATTTTAATTTATATATTCAATGAGTAATATTGATTAGTATTATTTTTACATATCATTTTATTTTTATGATAAAAATTTCACATCTTTTTGAAAGAGAAATATATCATTCTGACAATAATTTGATTACTCTCTATTCAAGATCAATGTCATGTAAAATCACTAAATATTTATCAAATATGATTATTTTTATGTGATCTAATCACCGTGTGAAGATCATCATGATTTTTAAAGTGATTGCTCCTTACCCAGGTAGTGTTTCTTTAATTAAAAATTTTCTTGGGTGACTGACAGTTGTTTTGCTTTTATTTAAAGATGGATATGAAGACCTGCCTGACGTATTCAAAATGGGTTTTGTTTATTGCCTTGATTAATGCCATCGTCTGGGGTGTTGTTGGAACTTTCTGGTGGAAATTTTTGGGCCTCTACTGATTTAATTACCCAGTGAGTGTCATTCTTCCCTGTTGTAAGAGGTCAGATTTTGGGAACAATGGAGCTCAATTTTCTTCACAGAAAAGTTTTTATAGTTATAGCTTTGGCTCTTCTCTCTCTCTTTTTTTAATGTTTTAACTGTTTATTTACTTTTCGGCAGGTCTATATTGCTTATTTAAATATAATTTTTTTAGAGATACATTTCTTTTCAATCCATCACTGCTCTTTCATATCTTCTTTGGTTCTGTTATTTGAGGTGCAAACTGTAACAGTTCCCTGTTCTGCTAGAAAACCTGCCGGGTTTGCTGGTTCAGGCAAGCTCCATGGATGACTATGTGAAGAAACTGGTCTATTGCCATATTAGAATTTAGGGAAAAAGCAGTAACCATTTATCTGGAAAATTATCAGGTTGGAGAACTTCGTGAAAAAAAGGTGGATAACCCTGACAAATGGGAAAAGGATAAAAAATTGTAGCGCTAGCCGAAATTAAGGAGATGGAATAATTTGGATGAGTTACTATAGTCTATAACCCATTGTCAGCAGGAAAGGAACAAATCCCCAAGCCACTTTGACAAATGAGAAAAGGGGCAAGTCTCATCAAGAGGAAAAAAAAGGCAGCAAAATCAGTTTAAGAAATTTATCCAAATGGCCCCTTTTTAGCCTGCGCGTTCTTGAGAGACCGATGCTTGCGTCCTTGCTTAGAAGATGGATCATTGGACACAGATGCTTCCGTTGTCCGTACATAAAGAAGAAAGGCTTCGTCTTCAAAGTTCACATGATCTTGTCTTTTCTTTTCTTGGGTGTGAAACCTAACTGATAGGACTTTGTTCTGGTAATGGCACATGTCATTGACAAAAGTATTTCTGGTGACAACTTACCAATAGCCAACACATTGTCGCCCGCCATATGCCCCTTGTCAATGGTTGGGTGGCACAAAGATTGAAAAATGCCGTGACAGTTACACTTTTTCTCTAGTTGACATATATCTCTAAAAAATGATGCAAAATCCCTGTCAAAACGATCGTTTTCTCAAAGAAAATTGATCAACAAGAAACAAGCAACGATGCAAGAATTATTCGTTATTAAGTTGACTCCTCTATTGTAGGTTGTTAGATATTTTCATTTATATATTTTCATCAGGACATTGAACGAGCAAAAGAAAAATAAACCTTTTGATTTAATTAGTTCCACTTTTATGCTATCTATCTACTCTCAGTTTGCACCCTTTGGTATACCCGATTGCCATGTCTTTCCCAAACTTCTATTTGGTTGTCATCCTTCTAGTGTTCCGTTACCACTCTTGGATCTTGAGATCTCAAGAATTAACATGCAACTTGAATGATTTGATAGCCCTAAATGGATTTTCTAGCTGTCTGGAGTCAGATATTCTTGGATGGAATAACTCTACTTCTGATTGCTGCACTTGGACTGGTGTCACTTGTGACAATTCTATTGCGCTGAGCAAAAGAGTGGTCAGTTTAGAACTTGGCAGCAAAAAGCTGTCTGGAACAATCTGTGATTCCTTGGCAGGTTTACATCAACTGAGAATTCTGAACCTTTCTCATAATCTGCTTCGTGGCTCCCTTCCAACCAAGCTGTTTCGCATGCAGAACCTGGAAGTCCTCGACATAAGTGACAATAGTCTTGTTGGTAGAATCCCAGAAGAAATTCATTTATCCTCTATACGGTATGTTAACATTTCCAAGAATAGTATTTTCGGTCCGATGGATGAAAATCTCTGTAAAACCTCACCCCATATCCAGTATCTTGATTTATCAGTTAACAACTTCTTCGGGGAAGTTTCTCCAGCTTTGGGAAACTGTGCTTCTTTGCAGTATCTCATTCTTAAGGGGAATAACTTTAGGAGTTTGCCCAAGGGTATCTTCCGGCTGCCAAATCTTAGGGTATTACATCTTCAAAATAACAGTTTCTCTGGGCCACTAAGTTATGGGATTGGTGATCTGTCTAACCTTGTTGAATTGGACATCTCCTCTAATTCATTTACAGGAGTTCTTCCAGATGTTTTTGGGAACCTTGGAAAGCTTCAGCTGTTCTCTGCCAGTTCAAATAACTTCATCGGATTTTTGCCCATCTCAATGCTGAACTCTCCATCGCTTACAAAGCTTGATCTCCACAATAACACTCTGAATGGTCCAATTAATCTCAACTGTTCTGCCATGACTCATCTCAATTCACTTCATCTTGGTTCTAATAATTTCCATGGTTCAATCCCGCATAGTATGTCCTCTTGCAAGAGCTTAAGCATGCTGAATCTTGGCCACAACAACCTTCGGGGTCAGGTCCCTTACAATTTTAAGAATCTTCAGGCCCTGTCAGTCCTTGCACTCTCCAGGACCAACCTTGTCAATCTGTCATCAACCCTTAAGATTCTGCAGTACTGCAAAAACTTAACTGTTCTGATCCTTAGTGAAAACTTTCGGGAGGAACAAATTCCCAGTGATGTGAATTTGCAATTTGGAAGCCTCAAGGTACTTAGCATTGCCTATTGTGAACTAAGGGGTTCGATTCCACTATGGTTACTTGGGTGCAACAGGTTACAGTTCTTGGATCTGTCAAGAAATCAGCTGAGCGGAGCCATTCCCTCGTGGTTCAACATGTTCAAATATCTTTTTTACGTGGATTTGTCCAATAATTCTTTCACAGGTGGGATACCAAAAGGCTTAACTGAATTACAGGCCCTCATTGACATGAACATCTCATTGGAAGGGCCTCCCGTGGGCTTCCCTTTATTCAGAACCGGTATAGGTGGTGCAACTTTTCTTTACAAGAATATTTGGAGCTTTCCACCAACTTTAGACCTGAGTTACAATATGCTAAGTGGACCTATTTTGCCCACTTTTGGGAATCTGGTAAGGCTTCATGTTCTAAATCTCAATGAGAATCACCTGTCAGGATCGATTCCAGAGAGTCTGTCAGGTATGAGAAACTTGGAAATTTTGGATTTGTCTAATAACAAATTATCTGGAAAGATACCTAATTCACTAGTGCAGCTCAGTTTTCTGTCAAAGTTCAGTGTGGCATATAATGAGCTTTATGGGGAAATCCCTGTAGGAGGTCAGTTCATGACTTTTCCATATTCAAGCTTTGAAGGGAACGATGGCCTTTGTGGTGGAATATATAGTCAATGTCCGCATGAGCATACTCCTATTGAATCTCCAGGTGAACCAATGACGGTAGTTGGCTCTCAATTTGGATATGGAGTTGCCACTGGTTTTGTTCTCACTATTACCATCTGCTTTGTGTCCGGTTGGATCCTTCCAAGAGAGGCACCATTTGAACAGGGCTCAATCCAAGACACACTGTTAGCAGCTAGAGGTAAATCTAGTCACCATGGCTAGCGACCTCTCTGCTCGTTTTGTTGCCCTCTTTTTCGTCTGCTTTATATCTTTTCAAGTTTAGACTGCATATTATGGACACTCTTTCTTAAATTCTTAAAAGAACTCTTAAGATGGCATAATTTGATCATTGCTTATTAGACAATTGACAGTTACATAAGGTCTTTTCCGAGAAAAAAAGTTAGGGGGTATGAAATCTGAAATTCAACCAACTCGGTAAAAGTTCACTGACCGTGTGCAAGGGCTTTTTCCAAGAAAAAATGGAAATGGAGTGTGGAACTGGAACAGCTTCAACTGCTACTCCTGGACAGGCATTACTTGCGATTATTCTGATTTAGGTAAAAGCGTAGTTGGGCTAGAACTCGGGCGTAAAAGACTCGCAGGAAGAATCTGTGAGTCTTTGGTTGGGTTGGATCAACAGAGAATCTTGAACCTCTCACACAGCTTCCTTACCGGTTCTTCTTACTTATATATATATATATATATATATATATGTAAATGTATATATATATATATATATATATATGTAAATGTATATACCTTCCTTACTGGTTCTCGTCCTTCCAACTTGTTTTGTTTTCAGAACCTGATTGTCCTTGACTTCAGTAACAATTATCTCACTGGTTCACTTCCAGGCGACATTCATTTACCGTCGGTAAAGTATTTTGACCCCCCAAACAATGATTTGTCTAGAAGTTTACCCTAGAAATTTGTAGATTTTCACCTCATATCCAGTATCTTAATCTTGAAAATTACCTTTTCTATGGAGAAGCTTCAACATGTTTGGAGAATTGTACTTCATTGCAGTATATTTATCTTAACGGTAATGTTATATCAGGAACTTTTCCTGAGAATATATTCAGCCTTCAACATCTTAGAAGACTGAACCTTCAAGACAATTAAGATTTCAGGGCCTCTTGATTGCAGAATTGGGAACCTCTCAAACCTTGTTGTATTTGATATCTCAAACAATGTCTTCTTGGGAAGTCTTCCAAATGTTTTCGGGACACTGAGAAAGCTAGAGTATTTCTCTGTCAGTTCGAATAGATTAAGTGGCCGAGTGGTTTATTGCTGATGCGATAAAATAATCTCAAATAATATTTTAATCGAATGTCATGTAGCAAAAAAAAAAAAATTCCTTTTTTGTGTGAATTTAGTAAGAATCAAACTAATAGAGTTAACAAATAAATCACCAAACCACAAACATAAAAATACAAGTAATTAACATGAAACACAAGCAATTTACATGAAAAACCTCCAAAAAACGAGGGATAAAAATCACAGGTAATAACAAATAATTTTTACTATCAAAATAATAGAAATACAAAATTTTCTCTAGCCAAAATTAGAAGTATATAGCCACAATATCTCAAGATTAAACAATTTTGATAAAGAAACAATCTTGTAAAAGAAAATTGAAGAAGTCTTAGCAAATTTAAGGATTAACAAATACTCATGAAATCAGTAGGTAGAAAATTTGAAACTCAATCTTTGCCATTTAGACAAAAGAACAATAAATTATAAATACACTAATGAAATTTTAGCTCAATCAAACAACAAATTAGCATCGATCAAATTACCTGACCGAAACTATACAAAACCCTCTTGTCTCTTTTTTTTTTTTCTTTATTTTGCAGCCACAGTTTCTCATTTCTTTTTTCAACCATGTAAGGGTTTAAAACCCTATAACCAAGCATGAAAAGACTAAAAAATCCTCGGTGAACAGGCTTTAGTTTTAGGCCACCTCCACATGGAGGAAACTAAGCCCAAGAAATCTCCCTCTTTTCAACTACATGGAAGGAATTGCCATTCTTACGATCGAACAACAAATTTCAAACTTTTCCCTTGGTAGTGTCATTGTTAACATATCAGAACCATTGTGATCGATATAAATCTTCTCAAGTTTAAACAAGTTATCATTAAGAGCATCTTTTAAACAATGGTACCTCATATCAATGTGCTTTAATCTTAAATGAAAAGTAGAATTCTTACCAAGGTGAACTGCACTTTGATTGTCATAAAATATCACATAACATTGTAGGTTGAAACCGAGTTTCTATATGAACTTTTTCATCCATAACAACTCATTACATGCTAAATGGCTACCACATATTCAACCTCTATTGTATAAAGTGCAATGCATTTCTGTAGTTTCAATTGCCAAGATACAACCCCACCTGAGAATGTAATCAAATAACTTGAAGTAGACTTTTAGGGAAAATCAATATCTCCTGCCATATTTGAATTAGTGTAGCCAACTAACATTGGTTTCTTACTTTCAAAAGTGAGTCTTAAGTCAGAAGTACCTCATAAATATCTCATGATCCACCTAATTGCATTCCAATACTCTATTCTTGGATTTGACAAAAAGTGGCTAACAACACCAACTGCATGGGATATGTCTAGCCTAGTACACACCATTACATACATTAAACTTTTTACTGCTGAAGCATACAAAATTCTTTTCATGTCTTTCATCTCCTTAGCTATAGAAAAGCTTTGATTAATACTTAGCCTTAAGTGTGTAGCAAAATGAGAGCTAACCACTTAAACTTGATTCATATTGAACCTTTCAAGCACTTTTTCAATATAGTGCTTCTACGACATATACAATTTCTTGGTTATTCTGTCTTGATAAATTTGAATTTCAAAAATTTGATGTGCTGGCCCCAAGTCCTTCATAGCAAAGGATCTACTCAATTGCTTTTTTAACTAGTCAATTCTAGAAGCATTCTTACCAACAATCAACATGTTATCAACATAAAGTAGTAATATGATAAAATCATCATCAGAAAATTTTTACATAAACACACAATGGCCAACAGTAGTTTTTCAGTAGTCTTGTTCACCCATAACTGACTCAAACTTCTTATACCACTGTCTCGGTGCTTGCTTCAACCCATAAACACTTTTCTTTAGCTTGTACACAAAATCTTTTTTATCTTTTACTATGAAATCCTCTAACTGCTCCATATAAATCTCTTTGTCCAAGTCATTATAAAGAAAAGTAGTTTTGATATCCATCAGCTCAATTTCCAAATCAAGACTAGCTGCTAAACCCAGAACTACATGAATAGATGACATCTTAACAACATGAGAAAAGATTTCATCAAAGTCAATATCTTTCTTTTGACTGAATCCTTTAACAATCAATCTAACTTTGAAACATGGCTGTGAAGTGTGTTCTTCTTGCTTTACTCTATACACCCATCTATTTTTCAAAACTTTTTTTCCTTTAGGTAGGTTTACTAGTTTAAAAGCATTATTCTCTTACAAAAACTTCATTTTATCTTGCATGGCATCAACTCACTTTTTCTTGTGTTCATTTTTCATGGCCTTTGCATAACATTCGGGTTCTCTCTCGTCAATTAGTAGCACATACTCATCAACAGAATACCATGTAAAAGGCTATTGATCTCTAGTAGATCTCCTGAGTGAAACTTTTGGTAAAACCTCTGGTTGAACCTTTGATATTGGTGATTGTTCATGGATATCATTACCCATCTCAACCTGTGTAAAACTGGTATCAACATCACCTATATTATATCAGTTATCCTCAACATCTTTAACCTTTGTAGGCATATGTGTAAGAAGAACTAGTTTTAAGTTAATCAAACCATCATTGCACTGTAAAACTGATGTATCAATCTTTTGAATATCTTGTATGGTTTGGTCTTCAACAAAAACAACATCATTGCTTCTCACAAGTTTCTTTTGCACTGAATCATAAAACTTGTAGCCAAACTCATCCTGATCATAACCAAGGAACACACACTATCTAGTCTTGACATCCTAAGTTTGGACCTCTCATTTTTGGGAATATGCACAAAAACCTTGCATCCAAAGGTGCACAAGTGATCATAGGACACATCTTTGCATAACCAAACTATATCTAGAACATCAAAATGTAAAGGAATACATGGTGAGAGATTCAAAATATATACAATTTTATTCAAAGTCTCACCCTAAAAAGATTTTAATAACTACTTTGTGAAAGCAAATATCTCACTTTTTCTATTAGTGTCCTGTTCATTTTCTTAGTTAACCCATTCAACTGATGAGTTTTAGAAGGTGACCCTTGATGTCTAATACCATGTTGTCTGCAATACCTATCAAAATGTCTAGTGTACTTACCTTCATTATCAGTCCTTATGCATTTCAATTTCAACTCTATTTGTCTTTCAACTAAAATATAAAATTGTTTAAATACATCTAACACTTGGTCTTTTGATTTCAAGGTTTAATCTCATATCTTCCTTGAATGATCATATATAAAAGTCACAAAATAGATTAAATCACCAAGTGTTTTTGTTCTTATAAGACCACAAACATCAGAATATATTAAATCAAGTATACCCGACTTTCTTGATGGAGGGGATATCTTGAATGCAACTTTGGTTTGTTTTTCTACCAAGTAATGATCACACTTCTTCAAGGATACATGTTTCATTCAAAAAAGAAAAATTTTCTTGGCCAAAACCTTCAAACCCTTCTCGCTCATGTAACTAAGTCACTTGTGCCAAAGTTCAATTGTATCATCATTATCTACTGCATTGATAATGGAATTAGATACCTTTGCTTGCATCAAATACAATGAAGAGCACTTCATACCCCTAGCTATAAGTATAGAACCTTTTGTGAGCTTCCATTTACCATCACTAAAAGTGTTGCCAAACCCTTCATCATTAAGCTTCATCGTAGAAATTAAATTCATGTGACTATTGAAAACATGTTTAACATTTTTCAAGACCAATGTAATGACATTATTGGTCTCAAAGAGCATATCTCTCATTCCAATAGCTTTAGCTGAGCCATTATTACTCATTCTAACACTTCCAAAATCACTAAGTGTGTAAGATACAAAGTGATCTTTCTAAGATGTAGCATAAATTATAGCACCAATATCAATCACCCAACTAGTCTTATAGCATGCAAAATTAACAACATGATCATCATATAAAATAAGAAAGTCATCTCTAATAGTAGTAACTTTATCAGCATCATTACCATCACCATTCTTCTTTTTTCTTATCTCTATTGTTATCTCTTTTCAACTTTCAGCAATATTTTCTTATATGCCCTTTCAAATCACAATAATGACACTCAACATTGACAAATTTATTGAATTGACTCTTGCTTTTGTCTCTATTCTTTGGACCTTTACTTTTACTCCTCCCTTTATTTTCTGTGACTAAGACCTCAAACTGTAAAGTGGAACCTTGTGACTTTCTTCTCATCTCTTCATTCAAAACATCACTTTTAGCCAAATCTATAGTAATAATACCATTTGGGGTTGAGTTAGATAATGTTGTTCTAAACATCTTTCACAAGTCCAGTAGTGTACCAAGAAGCCATAAGCCCTGTATTTCATATTCAAACTTGAGATTCATGCCAGCCAACTAATTAATAATACCTTTATATGCATTTAAGTGATCTGTCATAGAGTTTCATCTTGATATTTCAAACTCATCAATTGCTTAATTAAAAGCAGTTTATTATTCTCAGTTTTTCAAGCATACAACTCCTCAAGCTTGTTCCAAAGAGTGCATGCATGTGTTTCTTCACTAACATGGTTCAAAACATTATCATCAACCCACTGTCTAATATAATCACATACCTGTTGATGAAACAAATTCTATTCCACATCTGTTTTATTTTTAGGTTTTTCAGTGACAACACAAACAAATAATAATCTTTCACGTAAAACAAGTCTTCTATCTTCATTTTTCACACGTGGTAATTTGAACCATTCAAACTAATCATTCTACTTGTATTGACTTCCATTATTCAACATAAAGCATAAATTAAATAGTCTGAGCTCTGATACTACTTTGATGGAATAAAATAATCTCAAATAATATTCAAACCGAATATGTCACGTATCAAAAAAATTTTAAATTATCCTTCTTTTATGTGAATCTAGTAGGAATCAAATAAATAGAGCTAACAAATAAATCACCAAACTACAAGCACAAGGATACAAGCAATTTACACGAAAAACCTCCCCAAAACGAGGAGTAAAAAATCACGAACAGCAGCAAATAATCTCTATTATCAAAATAATAAGAATACAAAGTTTTTTTTAGCTAGAATTAGAGATATACAATCACAATATCTCAAGATTATACAACCACAATATATCAATATTAAACAATATTGATAAAGAAACAATCTTACAAGAGAAAATTTGAAAAGTCTTAACAAATTTAGGGATTATTTAGTCATAAAATTAGTAGGTAGGAAACTCAAAACCTGATTTTCACCATTCAAACTAAAAGACAATGAATCGAAAATGCATTGATAAAATTTCAACTTAAACGGATAATGGATTGATCTCGATCAAACTACTTGATCGAAATTATACAAAACTCCTTTTCACTTTTTTTTTTCTATTTTACCACCACACTCTCTTATTTCCTTTTTCAACCATATAAAAATTTAAAACACTATAACCAAGCACAAGCATGAAAGGACGGTTAGGTTTTAGTTTTAGGCTACCTCCACGTTGAGGAAACTAAACCCAAAAATTGCCTATTACTTTGGCGAAGTTTCCTTCACTTATAACGCTTAATCTGCACAACAGTATGGATGGTCTTATCAATATAAACTGTTCTGCAATGATCTATATTATCAGAGACTGATCCCTAATAGTCCATCGTCTTGCCAGAGCCTGAGGACTCTGAATCTTGGATGCAACAGATATGGCGGCGAGGTCCCATTCAACTTCAAAAATCTACAGGCACTGCAATTCCTTTCTCTCTCGAAAAGCAGCATCAAGAATATATCAGCAGTACATGAGATTCTACAGCATTGCAAAAACTCAATGACGTTGGTCCTTAGCTTGAACTTTCACCAAGAAGAGATGCCTAGCAACGTAAATATGCAGTCTAGAGGTCTCAAGGGAGTCATTATCCCATCTTGTCGCCTCAGAGGTTCCATTCCACTTTGGTTGAGAGGTTGCCGAATGTTGCAATTGCTGGATTTGTCTTATACTTCTTTGGATGGGTCCATTCCTTTTTGGGTAGGGAAGTTTTGCCTATCTCTTTTACATGGATTTGTCTAACAATTCCTTTTTCGGGGGAGACACCTGAAAGTTTAACTCAACTGTTAAGCCTTGTTCATTGTAGTGTTCTACTGCATGAATTCTCTGCTCAAGTCCTTCGAGCTTTCAGTAACCGCTCCAGATAGTATATCGGGAGATGAAAAGCTTGGAAACGTTAGATTTGTCACATGACAAACTCTCTGATGAAATACCTGATTCTCTAATAAACCTGAGCTTTTTGTCGCAGTTCAATGTATCATACAATGCGCTCCATGGAAATATCCTCTTAGGAGGTTCAGTTTACGATACTCACTAATTCAAGCTTTGAGGGGAACGAGGCTCTCTGCGGTAAAATGTTTAGACCTAGTGATATCACCGGTTCTGTCTCCGAGCAAAAGAAATGAAGATTGTAGGTTGGCAATTTGGTATTGGAGCAACGATTCGTTTTGTTCCAACTGTTGTCTTTTGCTTCAAAGTCAAGACTGGGTACTTCCCTAAGGATATGTTTAACAAGAATTAATATATCTAAAACTGACTGGTTCATAGAGCTAGCTATTGATCAGGGTTGGTAGCCCAACTCAAAATCGTTGAATTTCGATACGATTTGATTTTATAAGATCATTTAAAAAAAAATTGAGTCAAATATTATTAAAAAAAATTGTGATCAGATCGGATTCGGGTTTTAGATAAATTCGATTTTATATTATATAAAAAATTATTTTTAAATTTTTTATTTATATATATTTATATTTAAAAATAATATTTTATATTTTAAAAAATAATATTTTATTAATTTCGAGTCGAATCGAATCGAATATGATTTATATAATGTTAGATTCGGGTCGAGTTCAGATATAAAAAAATAAAAAATTTTCAATTTGAGTTTAAATTTTATGATTATAAAATCGAATCAGATTCAAGACGAACAAAAATTCACTCTAATCAGATCCATTGTCAACCCTACTATTGACAAGCTTGTGAAATTAGATGTGGCAATCTTGTATGCATTGCTCCTCGCTTTTCCCATGGTCCTTTCTTCTTGCTTTAGTTTCTTTTAAATCTAGTAATTTTACAAAAAAAAAAAAAAAAAAGGATTTATATTAAATTCAACTGTGCTCCATAAACATGAGTATTTCTAATGCATTAAATAAAAACATTTATTCACTCAAATTTAACTCAAATCATTTACATTATTAAAAAATAACGTTTAATAAATTTAAAATTTAAAATTTAATATTTACAATCACTTTTTTATCTTTCACAAAAACCTCTTTTGTGTCAACAATAAAAAAAATAAAAACATTTATTATCTAATCAATAGCCATAATTAGGATTTTTCGAGCGTTAGTGAGTAAAGTTCAAGTGTCACGGATCAAAGAAAGAGTCCTGAATCTTATACCGAATATAATAGGAGGGTCACTGAAGTATAAAAAAACTCACACTACCTTTCCCTTGTGAGACATCTTTTGTAAGATAAAATCGTGAGGTCAGGAGGCCAGAGCGGATAATAATATCTCACAAAGATGTGAATCGTGATGATCAGGCTGATCCGGGATGTCGGAAAGGTGAATGCTCGGGTTCCGGAGCCGCGTGGGTTCGAAGCTTAAGTCTCGACCCGTGACAAGTGGTATCAGAACTAGCTCTATACTGTTCGATCCACGTCAAGCACCTCGAGGGACGTAGGTAGGGTGGTCAGCCTTCATGACGAGGGCGTCACGAGGTTGGGTGTGAAAGAATGTCACGGACTTAAAGAAGGAATCCTGAATCTCACATTGAATATAATAGGAGACTAACTGGGGTATAAAAAAGTTCACACCATCTATACCTTGTGAGACACCTTTTGTAAAAGAAAACCGTGAGACCAGAAGGGTCAAAGCGAACAATACTTCATAAGGGGCTAAATCGTAGCAATAAAAACTGATCTGAGACGTCGAAAGAGTGAATGTCCAAATCTCGAAATCGCACGAATTCGAAACTTAAATCTCGACCCGTGACACAAACACTAAAATAAACTAGTACGGATAACCATCGTCTACGTTCTTAGTTAATAGTCAAATCCCAATTCCTATCTACCAAAATTTTTTAAAAAAAATTGAAAATTAATCTCCCATCACCCAGCATTAGGTTAAAGAAAAATCCTGGGCTACAACTCCGTGCTTCCCACGGCAGAACAAAATTCGTAGAGAGGTAAATTATTAATGAGTTATTTGAATTCAATTTGAAAAAAAATTTATATTCCATTAATTTATTATCAAATCAAATTCAAGTTCTAACCACTCAAATAACAAATAAAATCAAATTCAAATAATTTACTCTTAATTTGAGAGACTTGTAAATCTAATTGAATTTTTATTTTTTATTATATTTAATATATATAAATATATAAATAAATGATAAAAATATAAAATTCAATATTAATATTTACAATTTTATCAAATTTATCGAATCTAACTGAGCCAAGCTCCAATTACTCAATTAAATTACAAGCTGACCTTAAACATGAAAAATAAAACTTATTTGAGTTCAAATCGAATTTCGAGTTTCGAATTTTTCAATCAAACCAAACTCAGCTTAACAATGTATCAATTTGATTAGGCTAAGATTACATCTCTAAAAATGCTAGAAGTGTTCTATAATTACAAACAAATCCTTCTAAATTTAGTTACAGTCAAATAATCCTGATATAACATCAAACCATCAACATCAGCTTGGCTTTTCAAATGAAGCCTCGTCCAAAAGTTCTGTTCTCCAGACTTTCAGAACATCTACTTCAGGCTATTTGCATTAAATATTAATAGCATTTACCTATCCTAGCAAAAACAAAGTGGTAAAATTTCTATAATAAATGGTTATTGTCGTTAGCTGCAACCTGAAAAGAGCTCGTTCAACCAGGATGCTTCCATTTTCCTGCACATATTATCACAAACCTTCCAAGCCATTTGATTCCCGGAACTCATTAACTGAACTTAACTTTTCAAGAATTAACTTCTCTTGCTTGGCATCTATTACATTTAAGTCAAGAATTCAACATATCTTCTCTATGAAATAAATTTCTGAGGGTATGAACGAAACATTAATCATGCATGCAGAAAGACTGTAATAACGAAGTGATGGTTTCGTTATCATTTTCTAGATTCCAAATCGCAAAGTTCCTATGCAACACTTCAATAAGAGCATCAGAGACTTGTCCTCTTACAGATAAGTTTGCGATTAAATTATAGCTAAGTGGCTCAACTTATGTGCAGAAAATTTCTATAAGCATTGGCATTCGGATAGTCTAGAACAGGCATCCAGATTATGAAGGGAATACCTTCCCAAATCTAAATTATGCCAACTTCTTATTTGTTGTGTGCAAAAATTATTTGGCATCTATGAATTCATATCTCAAATTTGTGATGGTTGATTTATAAAGTAAGCAGAGAGCTGGCAAGGATACATTCCTGATCAGGGTTCTCAGTGAAATTGGAATGCAAGGCGTTCCCTATGCAGTCTACAATGCCCGAGATAGTCATGGATGATTCAATGCATAAAATGGCCGTTATGGCATCTAATCTAGTGACCTCATTTCTGAACATAAGCCTTGCATGTGCTGCAACATTGAGATCGTCAAAACCAGCATTGCTGCTGCAACATTGTGAACAATAAAGTCCAATGGACAGAGTGTCAGCTGATAAGGATGATAAATCAGCACATTATACAACATACCTTGAGCCAGGCGTATCAAGCTTTCAAGCATGCGCACCGTTGTTCTTGCTGCATTGTCCATTATGGTATGATCAAAGTTACTAGAATAAAAGCAATTGTTTTGTAGTAGAAGGGAAAAGGAGGAACCTGCATTATGCGTTGCTGATCTCCTTTGGAGTTGATAATAGCTTGAGATAACCTTTTCAGCCTCTTTTGTAAGCACTGGTTTAAAGTGTTCTTTTACATAATGAATATACCTGCAAGACATCTACAAAAGCTACAGACTCAAGTGATTCGAGGAGATAAACAAGATTGTTGAGTACTTGGTGGATGAGTATAAATTTCCTTTGAACAAGAATTATCTAGAAACCCCAACCAACCCCCCCCCCTCTTCAAAATAAAAAAGAAAGTCTAATAAGACGTCAGGAACAAAATATATTAAACAAAACTTTTTCAGAGTGATCTATTAGTTCCATGTGCCAAAGTTATATTTACCTCCGAAGGATAGGAAGTGGCCAGATATTTGCTAGATCTTCATCCTTCTTGCAACTTTTGGATTCTCCCTGCAATTAATTTCAAATAATAATTGGGACATTTATATTCAAATCCCCTTTTTATTTTTTGTGGTCAGAGATTTATTCAAATACTTCAACAAAATTTACAACTTTATGAACACATTACCTCAGCTAGAATATGTGATGATACAACTGCATCCCATTCAGGGTTCTTTGTATCCAAGAGGACTAGGACAATATCAAATCTGCTTAGTAAGGGACCAGAAAGTGTCGTATTGACAGAGAGAGCTAGATTTGGTTAAGAACAATGCATTATAAATATAAATAAGAGAAAGAGAAACATTCAGGAAAACTGAGCAAAACCAAAGAAAAAGGGGCTTGGGGGAAAGAACTGTTGAGAGAGCAGAGTTAAGAACAGTGGATGCAATTAAATTCTGCATTTACCTACAATGCCATATAAGGCAAGGTAGAGGACGACTTGTAATTTTCATAGTTAAATGTAAACAATAACTAGCTCAATCAAGCAACTTAATTTTAAGGTCAATCAAGCTTGTTCTCTAAATTGAAGTGATACGTTGATCAGGATCATAGTGTCCTTTGGGATTTGTTGCCCCAAAGACAATCGTCCTGGTACCAAGAGTTGTAACAAGGCCAGCCTGAAAATTAGAAAAACACCAAAACTTGTTTAATTGCCGTGCTTCTACCAATTAGCAAGTAGAGCATAACAGAAACAAACTAAAAATAAAGAAAGAACAAAAATAGATTCCAGGTAACAATATTTAAACAATCATGGAAAACAACATAGGGTAAAATTAAAAGTAAGTTGGTCAGCAAACTGCCTGTGACATGCAGGATGGAATGACATCCACTATGAACTTTACAAAATTTAACTCTCAACTTTCTCCAAGTATTCTAAGTGAAACTAATGATGCGGGACACAAGATTTGGGAAGAGATGATCCAGGCCTATGCAAGGGCACATTAACAAATTTGCTTGCCTCCCAAAAAAAGGCTCTTAACAACAAGCTACAATATCAAGTAGACAGAGAACACAGGAACGAAAGACCTCCAAGAATATTGCAAAAGCTGAATGAACTTATTAATCTATCTTGATAGCCTCCATGCTAAAACTTGTCTTATATGGTATTATACAATATAATGCAACAAAACATGCTAGTCTAGATGTTTTCTAAGTAAAAGAAAATAAAACATGTGGTGAAGATTTCAGTGAAGTTGATAGGACGGTGTATGCAATTCAAGATTGCACATAGTACTTATAGATTCTCTAGCCTTCCCTATCTCAAAAGAACATATAACTAAGGAATTAAACAACACAAATGGTTAAGATAAAAATACCTAAAGCATGAGTGAAAAACATGTCTAGGTTTAATTATAACAAAGGGCAAAGATGTATTAAAGTTACATGTTAACCAAAATAGAGATTTGGATGGATTCTAACAAAATTTATTCTAATGCAATGTGGCAAAAATGCCTACCTTAGCAACACTTATAGTCTGCTGCTCCATTGCTTCATGTATGGTTGCCCTGTCATGCTCTCTCATACTATATCCAACAGCCACACCCCAAAAAAAGGAAGAAATACAATCAAAGATAAATAAAAAAAAAAAAAGAAAGTACAGATAATTACAAATTTAGTTGCCTAGCAAAAGAGCAGCTTCTTGAATGACCAATGAAAGCAATTCCAAAAGCAGTATCATATCTGCTACTATATTCCCTAAGAGAATATATTCATGTATACATATTTGCTAGTATCATATGTTGACAGTAATACAATTATGATGACCTGTGTAACGTTAAAGAAGAAAAAACTGTTTTGATCCCTAGAAAAGTTCCTAGCAAACCCAGCTTTGAACAGAGAAAAATAGGGTTTTAAATATTGTCATTAGTTCTTAATCAAGTTCCCTTACTGAATATTAAAAAAAAAAAAAATCATGATGATGATTCAAAAGGTGTACCTATCAAATTCATCAATACAACAAAGCCCTCCATCTGCTAAAACAAGTGCCCCAGCTTCTAGCATCCACTCCCCTAGTAATATCAGGGAGACAGTTAGCCCCCTAAATAAATGAAACTTCCATAAATTGTCAAGTAACAATCAAAAGCCATGAGTTTTAAGTACTTTTCCTTCAATAAACAGAAAAACAACGAAATCATAAGGTCACACCAGCTCTACCATGCACTCCCCTAGTAATATCAGGGAGACAGTTAGCCCCCTAAATAAATGAAACTTCCATAAATTGTCAAGAAACAATCAAAAGCCATGAGTTTTAAGTACTTTTCCTTCAATAAACAGAAAAACAACGAAATCATAAGGTCATACCAGCTCTACCATGCAAAACTTTCAATTAAACAACTTGTTTAACCACCCCTCTTTCTTTTATAAGTTTTCTCCATATGGATAGAATGGAGAAGGTTGAAACAGTACTACTAAAAAATGAAAAATTAAGGAAGCACAAGTTTGTAATAAGGATTTAACTCATAGTTTGTTACCTTCAGCGAGACAATCAAGTACTTCCTTATATCAATAATCAAATGGTTCAATATAGAATGATACTTAGGTGAAGAGTTGAAGAAATGAATCATACAAACCGTGATACCATAACTATATAGACATATCTTATATGCAAGTTCCAGTTTCATGAACCTTCAAAGTTAAGCAGACTGAATTGTTTAATGTACTTTCAAACGATATCCTAGTTTCTAGCTCCAATAACTCTCACTCACCTCCTTCCTACACGATAGTCTTGCCAGTTATCATTGCCATTAAATTGTTACAGCAGCCACCAGAATAACATAATCACCATAGAACCCCTTTCAAAAGAAAAAAGGTGAATTCTGAATATGGTTAAATTTGCGGTTTTCTACATATCAAATCTAAGCCATATTTTATTTTTTCTTGAATTAATTGACTAAGAAATGGGCAAAGCTATGTATCTGCAGCCAAACTTTCACCAGTTTTCATATTCTCTAGAAATATCATGCACAGCCAGTATATCATATACTTCAGCAGCATGAACTATCATTACGTTACACATTCCATGTTGACTATAATTCACATTGTTGAATCCAATTCATGATTATTTTCTTCAGGTTCACAAAATTAGTTATGTGGATAATCACACTGCAACATTATCAGCGAATAATAACAACTCATCTAAAACGCAATGTGAATGTGAAAGTTACAATAAAGGTGATATGAAGGTTACCACCATCCTTGACTGCAGTAACAGTCAGTCCAGCACTAGTGCTTCCCAAGCCGGTAGTGATGACAGATCGGTTGCTTAATTTTGCAGCAAATTTCAAGAACTGAGACTTTCCAGTACCTGTAAAAAAATTACTCATATTTTTTTTACATGGCATCAATCCTAGAATTATAACAATTCAAAGATTTCATGCACATTCTGAATCTTTGTAAATCATAGAGGAATGTAAGTTGTGCACACTTTCAGGCATAAGCCAGCCCATATATACATATATGCACATAACAAATCCATATCTCAACTATTTGGTAAAAGGACTGAATAGGGTCTTCTACTGAATTATGGTCTGACTTCGGGGAATGAGCACCCAGGGGATTAGGGGTTTGGACAAAAAATGCTTTCTCAGAGCCAATTACAAGTATCTCGGGCCAAAATATGGAAACCTAGCATAATAAAGTAGGTAAAAGATTATCTGCCACGATGCAGATGAATGATATTTTTCATATCCCGAAGAGAACCTGTTCAATTGCTTTCAAGGAATATGGCTCCATAAAAGTGGTTAATCAATCCAAGTATCAAACTGTAGATCAAGTAAATGCTAAAGAAGTGAATATTCAAGAAAGAACAATATCATATAATATTGGAACAAGAAAAACTTTACCCGGGTCGCCAACCAGAAGCAAGTGAGACTCTCCTCGAATCTTTGTCCCAGAAGCATCAACATGTTGGACACCTCCAATCAGTGTTAGTGCAACTGAGATCAAGGAAGTGAAAGTTCAAGAAGTTTGTCACTGAAACTCCATAATGCCCACACATGCATGCATGTGTTGAGAGAGAGAGAGAGAGAAAGAGAGAGGAGATGGGATGACAGAACACCTGCAAGTTTCACAGTGAAGAGTCCAAAAACTTGAGGGCAAATTCCTCGTAGAATAGCATTTCTCCCTGGGTTAAAATTAAGCTGCTTCAAGTTATGAAGGGAAATATTATACAAATCCATCGTAAATGATGGGAATAGGAAAAAAATGAAACATGCCCCAAAAAGTAAAAAAGAAAGTAAGAATTCAAAAAGATAAATTTCATTACAACATGCGAAATTTTCTAAGTGAATAAATAAATAACCACCTATTCTTACCTTTCAATGGGGTGTCTCTAAAGTCTGACCAGAATTGCTTGAATTTCAGAGTAACATCATCAGGAATATCTATGTCTAATTTCAGCTCATTAGTTCTCCTAAGAGGAGACAAATAAATTATGAGAAAAATAACCAAGTGCAGTTATTGTAATGTCCACTAAAAGTACTTTAGAATAATTAACTGTTTTCACTAGAATAAGACAATTACTATGCAAAAGCATGAAAAAAAACAAGAAATTTGAGTCAAATAACTGTATTTAAGGAGCTCATAAACCCAAATTAAATTTTTGCTTGATGAGTTACAAACAGATGAAAGGCAGTGGGAGAAGTCTCAAAAATGAAACAGGTTAACATTTACCCTGATGTTGATAAATACATTTCTCTTGATTCTTTTGCCTTCTGTTTTCACTCATAGATAACATAGGAAGGATTGATACTCAGAGTACCATTAATTGACTTGCCTAGTATGCAAGGCACTCACATCGATAAATGTTAAGGGAACATAGTCTCATTATCAAAAATGAAAATGTCATTTGATCTCCATCTACCCCTTGTTACTTTTACGTTGTCTTCCAACTTTTAGCTTGATATGTGAGCTAAAAAGGATTCATTCCTGTAATTAGGAACCATTTTCCAAATAACAGATCCTGCCATGTTGGCCAGCAGAACCCATAAACGTTCAAAATGGAAACCTTTCAATATGGCAAATGATACCTTCTGTAGAGACACTTAACAAGGGCAGTGAGTAAGAAAGTCACACTATGGAAAGGTCTATAACTAGCCATCATTGAGTATAAACTAATTATTTGTGTTTCTTGTATATTGCTCAACTGAATTACATGAGGTCAAAATTATGAGAGGCTGGTAGCCCTTGAGTTAATAATCAATTTGTATCTCAGACCAAGTTACCGTGGAACAACTACATTGTCTCAAATAGATAAAATATTTAAACTTAGACTTTTAGATAAGTTTCCTTTTCTCTCCATTTGTTTTTATCACAATGAAAGCGGCATTAGAGAAAAATGACAAAATCAAGGGTTTTGATTCTTTTTACCTCACATGGTTGGCAATTAAAATGGGATCAAGGTCACACCGCACATCTTTTAAATCAGGAGACCACTTAGCAGTCAAGATCCCTGTAATGATAACATCGTCTGGACAAACAAGAGCTTATAACCCCATGAAAATTAGATAATTAAATAACCCAAAATCAATATGAACTAAATTAAAGAAAAAAAAGCAGCAGCATGTATCGACAACGGATTGATAGCCATGATGTACAGATACTATACTGAAACATAAGGCATAGTAAGGATATAGAAGCTGCAAATATAAGATAAAACATCATGGTTGTACTCTAGGAAGGGCATAGGCAAAAAGCTGACTTTTACATTAGTGATACCCAATGTCCCAGACTCCTCAAGGTTTGGTTTTGCCACCTTGAAAAACTACAACTTAAACCAAAACAATCCTAATGTATTCAATTCAGGCAATGGCTAAGGTCATTAAACACAATACAAGTTATTTTGGCCGTTGTAGCTAACTTAGGATGACATGCGGGCTTCAGTGCTTCCCAGCAATATTATTAGATCTTGCTAGTTGAAGTCAAGCACTATTAAACAATGACTACACTAGAGAATATCCTATCACAATTCATCCCTGACTAACCCTCTAATAGACTTTTCCCTTCTTAGTAAAATATCATGCAAACTTACTAAACCAATTGAAAACTGGATTTAATATGTAATTTTTGGTTAAATCGTTTCTCTTAAACCTCAGTGAATAAATAATATTAAAAAGACAAATTACATTTGATAGCACAATAAGAGAAGCTCCCTAAGTGGAAAGAATCAAACATTGATAATGTATAGAAAAAACCAGAGTTTGTAGAGTGTGGTACCTCCAGCTTTAACAGTGTCAACAAGATCATCCTGAAGAATGACTAGAATTAAACGAGGAATCACCCCAACACCCAACACTTGCGTGCTTTCTTGAATTTTGATTTCCTGATAATCATGACAGACTGTAGTACTTTCTATGCACTGGAATTTAGTGCCTTCGCAAGGATTGGACCTCTGTTATTGAACAAGTAATCTGTTACCAAAATCTAAAGTATATTTATACTATCATATCAACATATGAATAGACAGAATAGTTCCAAAACTACATTTTAAACTAATAAAACCAAGAAAAAAAGAGAATCAAAACTCTTTCTTGCAACATGCATTAAAGAACAATTAAAACTGGCATTAAACCTCAGAGGGGCAGATTGATGGTAGCGTTATTGAGTTTCTTGTTTCAAGCTCAGGATAAAGAGGAAACCTACAATCATTTTCAACCCAACTGACAGTCAGCTTAGAACCAAGGAATCTCAGAGCTGCCAACAGAAAAAGTAAGTGACAAATAATTAAATTCAAATATTTTACCCCTCTTCCCACCATAAAAGTAATCTGGTGCAAAAAGCAGTGTAACCCAAGCAGATAGTGATCAACTTCTAAAAGCCAGTACTTCTAGCATGATAAGACACAACATGCACAGGTGCTGATATAAATGGGAATGAAGTGATCATTCTGCAGAGAACCAAGAGACATCTGATTTGCCAAGCTTGGCAACTATTGAGTATGCTCAGTTGATGGCCTGGCTCAAGCTTGTTTACAACTTGTAAAATATGAATATAGCCACACACCCCTGAAGGTGACTAGAACATTGGCCAACCACCAGGTTTAAATAGCCCATAACAATTCTCTAACTTGAAGATACTTCGTTTATGAAAGAGACTTAAGGAGTGATGCCCCCCCACAATTACCTTATGCCACCATTAGCTATTAAGGCTACTGCTTACTAACCTTGTTTTGCAGGAAAGCTCCCTGTTTCTATCCCTTAAAATAGCTTGTTTCATTTACAGCATTGTAAGCCACATCCCTTCCTTCATATACATAAAAGAGAAACCAAGATTGAGCCATTGGCTGCAGGTTCTATTTCTAACCATCATTCAATAATCTTACCAAGCAATTTAGGCAACATGGAAATACAACAGGGCCAAAATTCTCGCATTACAAGCATACTCTACAGTAACTGTATGCATATAGAGTACAAACTAGAAATCAAACTTACATGTGCTTGCATTTCTTACACTGATATGTCCGCTGCCCCTCATACATCTTCACTGCTCCAGATCGAATTACAGTCCCCTTGAGAGTAAGAAGAATTCCTCGATGTTTAACCCTCACACGCCCAATACTTGGAAAAGTCTCTGTTCCACATTCAAATTCACACGTCAATAGACATTCAAAGAATAAAAAAAATGTATATATGTGTGTAAAGGATCCAAGCACATGAATAGAAGCAAACCAGGACATTCAAGAGGAGAACCACAGACGTTGAAACGGACATGAATGAATTTCTTTTCAACCCCTTTCTCATGTGATACCATGTCCTTCAGTACTCTTTTCTGCACGTACACACATTAAATGCATGCATCAATTCATAGTTGCATTAAGCATGTGAAAATTTTCACAAAGATTGAATATATTTGCCGATACAATACACACATCAAAATCTCTATTTCTAGATATTTTCCTGTTCTTGGTCCAAAGACGACATAACTAGATTCACATTTTGTACCTACTTGAAATTGGTGAATTTAGGAAGGTTAAATTGGGCAACTAAGAGAATGAACAAAAATTAATACTGTGCACATATGTTAAGAGTTAGATGAGATTACGTGAGCCATAATGGCGGCTTCGTCAAAGAATCTCAAATAGTCGGTTGGGTTGGCAAAGACGAGCCGGGCTAGAGGAGGATCAGCATCCAACAGCTCGGCATAACTATGTAGAAAAAGAGAAAGGAAGAAGGGATGAAAATGAGAAAAGACACATAAAAGCTTAGAATGAAAAGGGGCGATAGAGAGAGTACTCGACGAAGACAGCATAGTGGAGTTTAGGGTCAGGAGAAAGAACAATTGAGCGGAGCTGATCGGAGTGGCAGCGTAGCAGATATTCAACGGCCGAATGAAGCCGAACCGGTACCTCCTCCTCCTTGTGCGAATCCATGGCCTCTTTCTCTTGATTATGTTTACAGAGAGTTTGAGAGAGAAGCTGAAGAGGGCTATGCAAGGGCGGGAAAACGGCTATACATAGATTGGAGCGGAGCCCATTGTGGGCTGGGCCGATTTAGGGGTTTGAGGCCTTGAGGCTGAGGATTGCGGCGGAACAAATAACCCACCGTAACCAAGAATTTCGAGATTGAAAAAAAAAAAATTGGGAATGGCTTTCATTGAACAGTAAAGAAAAGCCGAGAATATTAATTCAATAAATAATCTGTAGTCGCAATGAAGCAAACGCTCGTAGTCAATGATCAAATTCAAACTTACAGTTTTTACTATTACAAGTGTACAGTATCCCTTTCATCGCATCGGCTGTCTGTTTTGAATGTATATTTTTGTTTCTATTTTCTGTGAGTAGTACCAAAATTGTGGTGTTTTGGTAAAATACTTCATGCTTCTCTACTGCTGTAGATGATCTGAATTCTATCATGGTTGGCATTCGGCTTAGCTCAGAAACATACAGCTTTTGGACTTAATGAACAAGTCTTGTGCTTCTTCTGTTCCAGAAATGGCTGTTTCTAAGGTGTAGTAAGACTATGTAGAAGGACCAAATTTACTGAACTGCATGTCATTGTCAGCACCATAGTCTCTATTATCGAGAGCCGGTTGTTTCAATCTCTGGAAAATTTCATCAAGAGACTCAGACGAGGAAGCACGGGAGGACATTGTATTTTCTTGGGTCTGGTGTAAAAGGAGGAATCTCTTCGCCTCTAGGTTAGATTTGAAATTCAGAAGACCAGACTTCATTGATTCCCATTTTGAGGCTAATCCCCCTGATGGTGGTGTCATTACACTCTCGGAGTTGCCAGCATCAACTGTTACGGATGTTGAGTCTTTTTGAGTCGACTTCGTGCTGGATGCTTGTTTCTTTTGGTGTTCTCTTATGCCAGAATATTTCTTGATGATGGCCTCTCTGCTTGTGTCTTGTTGAACCTCCTCTTTCAGAGGTTTAAGTTGACCTATCGTTCCAATTTCAGGGTCTCTTGGCGCTCTTGTATCTATAGGAGCCTTCTCCTGATACCATTTTCAAGTAGGAAATCAGTTATCAAATGTTGAAAAGAAGGATAAACAAAAAAATATGAAGGCACTCTAAAGTGTGCACCAGCAAAGTTATTGGCATGTCTCTTTTTTTAGCGGCAAGGGGTTCCTGGGCGAAGTTATTGGTATGTCTTTTTTTTTATTTAGCGGCAAGGGGACAAGGGGTATCTGAGCTCTGAGCAGCACATCCTTTTTCCGGATCAATTCAAATAAGTTTACCCATGCGAGGCTTAACGAAGTCATGAGAAAATTATCTTCTCAGTCTTCTTCTATCAAATTCAAATCCAGGCAATAAAAGAAGTATACTCTCTTTGTCACTTGAGCTAACCAGCTGGTAGTTATTGGCATGTTTTAGATACAAGGAGACAGCAGTTTTAAATACAAGAGCACACATACAGTGTTAGTGCTGCCAGGTTCAATGTCAATACTCAGGCCGTTGAAATTCCTTGCCAATGGAATAACATGCTCACCAACCGTATGCCCTCGCTCAAGCCAAGACCGTTCTGAAAAATAAGTGTAAACATTTACAACTTATACTTACAAAGAACAAAGAAGAAACTATGACATCATACATGGTGATGGAAAAGTGTCATAATTACCTTTCTGCAAGATAATTAGTCCTGATGGATCAAATCCATCTGTGTCATCAGCTTCATCTTGAAACTTGAATATCTTCCAGTGGCCAAAATAATCAATGATTCGATCAAAGAAGTTTGTCACAAGTAATAGTGTGTATATAACCATGATGAGGGGATATATTTTATTGAATCCTTTACCAAAGAAAGGCACAGCATCATCTATGTTCCCCATTCTCTGCATATAAGTTGATGTTACATGAGATTTCAAGTAAGATCATGCAAGTAAGATCATGCAAATACGTTTAAAGGAAAGCGTAACTCAAACCACATTTCTGTTTAGTCAAAATGACAGATTTTAAATGTCTCTGAGGCACAGACTTCCACAGTTTAAAAAGCTAAATGTTCCAGTCACATGCCATACTAACAAGCTTGTATAACTACAGACAATTATACAGCAAATTTTGATTATATAAGAACTTATCCCACTTGCATCCTCTTTTTTTTTTTTCATGCCAAATGAAATTGTTTCATTTAAAAGAAATATACATTTTTTTCATAATGAACATTTAGGTCTTCCTATTTTCACTTAGATTCGCAGAAGAAAATATTGCACAATTTATGCATCTAAAAGGATGGGTGTGAACAAACATTAAGAGTAGCACCCTTTTCTATCAACATCAACCAGAAGGAACATTGCTGCAGTGGGCAAGAAGCAAAATTTAAAAAAAAAAAAAATCATTGAAATGCCCCATTAGCCCATGCTATCACACAAATCCCAATAGCAGGGGTACAATATAAGAACCATAAATTACTTTGCAGAACTGATGAATATAATTGAAACATTAATATCATAATATGGCTGGATATCATCAAGAAAAGCACAATAAAGTAGAAAAACTACTCACCTTCTCAAAGATCGTTTTCCTATTACCAGGGACATGGATAAGATTGAGAAAATTGTATGAAATTGGCGGAGCGTATCGTGCAACCATCCTGATAAGCATTTAGGAGTGAGATCCACAAATTCTAAAAATGAGAGGAAAGTAAAAGTAGTTAAGAAAATAGAAAAAAGAAGAATTACGAGCATATCATAAGCAAGCTGACTGAGCTTGTTCGTCTTGGTGTGAATGAGTAGAACATCAGCATTCCAATTTTAAACAAGGAATAATAGGTGCAGATGCACATATACATTAGAGGGACAAAAGCAGCAACCTACAAATCAACACAATCATTTGATAACACCAAGCCCCTTGGCCAAGGCAAAAATAGAATTTAAGATTCAACCTGAAAGCACCATCAATTAACTTAAATCCACAGGTTTGATCAGGGGTTGGCCAACATCAAGAAGGCATTTAAGGCAGATTTTTTAATTGATGTTATTAGCAATAAGTAAATGAATGTTTGACAGTTTGACACTATAAAACACTGGTGTGTTCCAACTCTTAGTTTCGAGTAGGATGTTAAGATGGGGCATACAGAATGTTAACTGGTGGATTTCTTCCTCACATATAAAGAGAATAGGGTTTAGGAATGGTGACATCAAATTGCCAACTTGATTTCTAAAGTTCAGTTCTTTGTTCTCATACGAACTTGTAGTTCAGTTCTTCGTTCCCTTTCGAACTTGTGCTACAAGCAGTTTATCCATTTGAACATCTAAAGAATCCAATTTATCTCAGTTTATTACCTGCACGAGCATTTCCTGCTTTCCCACAGAGTTTATGAGGATGGAGAAAAGAGATAAATCAACTCCACTAGGCAATATGGTAGCCTCTGCTAAAAGAATTGCAGCTGACATGCAACCCAGAATGATAGCCAAGAGTTTCTCTAGTTGCTTTCTTAGAACACAACGCCAAATGAATTCTGTAAGGATTAAACTAATTAGATTGAATATTAACTGACTTGAGGGTAAATAATAAACATAAATGTATAACAACTTAACAAAGAAGGATAATAGCAAGTTCACAAAAAGTACTCTATTTCGTAACTCAAAGAAATTTAAATGATTAAGCAGCCCATTTATGTATCTAGGATTTCAATACTTGACTTCATTTCAGCTCATCAATGACTATTGAGTACTATCATGGACATAAGGACACAGCTTGTAGCATTCCAAACTTGAAAGGGACGAAAAGGACCATCAAAGATTAAAGAAGATTTACCAATGTGTTTTATATAGCTCCGGTCTGCTAATATAAGGAAATCATAAAACAACTGAAACAGCAATTTTTAAGCACCTAGATGGATAGGTTAATTTGGCACCCAAGAAATTCCCAGCCCCTAATAAAAATAAGAAAAAGGATAGCATTCAGAATAGAGTAATTACCAATCTTATCAAGAGAAGACCCTAGTTTGCCCGTTCGCTCAAGCCTCAAGCTTGAAACAAATTTCCTGCAACATTTTAAAATGAATATTGGGCAAACTTTTAAGAAGAAAGAACACTTTTAACGATAATAATCAAAGACTTGTACAGCACACAAAAACTGCAAAATATAAACTAACTTCTAATTTATATTTTAGTTGATGATGATGCCAACAAGAATAGCAACCAATAGATTCCACCAAATCTTATATGGATGATTGGAAGAATACAAGAACCATTATTTAGATTAATTATTCTATCTAATATCGGTCCAACTTTAAGTAGAAAGATCGGATGCAATGATTCTCAATATCTTAAACACTTTTGAGCCTTACTAATATTCCCAACAATTTCAAGGGGAACCATTTGTTCAATAAAATATATTGATGAATCCCTCCAAACAAGTTCTTACTCTTAGTAAACTATTTTATTGTTTCATGTGGATTCTCCGTCCTTGAAAAATCCTCATTCTCCGCTATGGTCATATAAATTGGCTATTCGACAACCTACACAAAAGTTATTGGTTTCTACAACTGTTTCTCTTTCTCAATTAACAAACATCAGCAACATGAGATCTTATAAAGTCCAGTCTAAAGCATGCCGACAATTATAGTTCAATCCATAAAACATTGAAAACATATTTTTCAATCCATCAGCTACTTCTTGTGCAACTAATGCATACACAACAATGAACAAATCAGAAATGGCAGTGCCTACAACTTTATCATCCCTAATATTGAAATATTCTACACTTTAGGTATAAAGTATGGCTAATAATCCAAAAATACAGAGTGCACAAAAGAAAGTTGTAAATGCACCTCTGTGTGTATGTAGGACTAAATGCATATATGAGAGAGAGAGAGAGAGAGAGAGAGAGAGAGAGAGAAATCAAAGGTAAGTTTACAGGAAAATAGAGAAAACGGGATGAAGGAGGAAGGGGGATAGAAGGATTTTAAGACAATTCAGTTTTCAGAGTTCAGCCAAGGAATTGGGCCCCATAGCATGAACACATTCAGATACACATAATGAATCCAGAATTTGAGTCTAAAGTTGATATTTTGCAGATCAAATCAGGAAAAGAAAAAACATATGACTTAACAAGCATGCAAGTATTGTATAAGTGCAAAGTACAAACCATCCAGTTGCATCACGGCGCTCATAGTTTTTTATGGTATCTTCCAGCTCGAGGGCTTCCAAGACAAAGCTCATATATTCACTGCAAAAGTAAAGAGTTTACTTTTAAATTAGCACAGGAAAACTCACTAGGATGCAGAGTACAGCAGTATAATTCATGGTTCTAAACCTTAAAGTTACAGAAACAATGCTTGACAGAGAAAATAATTGCTTGTTATAAGTAACATACCACCATTTCATCTTTTCCCTAAAAGGTCAAAATAGGCAAAATAGTAATAATTCTTCTAAAAAAGAAAGAATTGCTGAAATTAATTTTGGCACCGCTTTTCATCGTATGGAAATTACATATCAATAAACCAATTCACATGAATGTGCAGGTTTGTCTCAAGTAATATACATATTTGGATTGCTAATTTCACAAGAACAATACAAAATAAGTCTACATTATTGCCATGAAAATTTAAACATAATGGGACGGAATAAACAACTGTTCTTTGTTGATTTTGACATACAGTACTATACTACCCATAAAAATTTTAACTAACCACATTATGTTGTACCTTCGATACCGACAATATTCCTCTCTAGCTATCCTAAGCCGGCGTCGAAGAGTTGCCATTGATTTCTCATCAGTATCATAGTCCATATCATTCTCCCCAAACCTCCCACCTTGAGGTTTGAAGGAAGGATCTTCATTTAACTGCAAAATAGGAAATAAAGTATTTGAGGAAAGCACATAAAACTCCACTTTGAGACTAAACAGACCCATAGGAAAAGTGGGGTACCATTTGATGTAACATGCTATCTATAATATTCATATACTGTCTTAAAGGGTCACGCTTTGATATCTGATTTGATGTTGCCTGAACAACCTAAATACAAACACCTTCATTAGTTCTGAAGGAAAAAAGATAGTAACTTGATGTTATCTCTAGCAACCAGAATTAGAAAATAAACCAACATCAAAGAAGTATGACAATTATATCCCTCAACACAGCTCCAAACAAGCAACCCGACTACAACATCATGGCAACCCTACAAGGTTCTGCATGAATAGAAGAAACATTAGCCTAATTTGGATTCAATGTGGTACTGAATTGGACAGGCCCAAGAAATAAAGGAACATCAAAATACTAGTGGAGCTTATGGAGATGCCAAACAGGAATATATATTGAAAATGTTACAGAAATAAAACAATTCCAGAGATGTTTGACACAAGTCGAGAAATCTTTCCATTCAGACAATCATCAAATAACATATCCATGTTATGGAAATAAAACACTCAAGTAAATTGAACTTGATTTTTAGCAAAGTGTGTTCGATAAGATGTGGTGATTAGGCTCACTAAGACGTGGAGACTGATGAACCCTCATTTGCTAGAGAATATACTTCTCAATAGTAGGAATCAGTGCATTCAAGATGGCCACTTGAGTCAATTGAACAACTGATAATAACGACCTGCTTTGTCTCTAATAATTTAGTCCATTGTTCTATTTTGGTTGTCTTGATACATTTTACGTTTGCCATTACCAAATGTGACCAGGCATTGATTGCTAATTTCAAGATTCCTTTTTTATATCATTAATCACCACAGACAGATGACAACATTAATAGTCAAGGCCAACATGGAGGTCGTATTATATTATTATAGTGCTAACAAGTAAGTTCTTGAATAACTAAATAAACTAAACCACCAAAGACTTAAGAATCCAAACAGAAAAATAATTTGAACATGGCCTGTAGTTTTCTTTTCTTATTTTCTATTGAATTTACCAATTGTGAAGTCATAGATATACTTACTACAATAGAATTTGAAAATTCCTGATGAGCGTCATCAAGTTTAACAGCCATTTTAGCAACTTTGTGTGAGAGAACCTTCTGACGGATAGTCCAATCCACATTCTTCCATATGCCCTTTGGGATTTCGCTAAGACCAAAGCCAAGAAGAAATGCACCAGTAACAAGCCCAAAAGTATTGGAGCAAGCCATGGCAAAACCAAGAATGCCTCCACTCCTTCTCCCCAAAAGGAAAAAGGATCAGTTAAAACAAAGGTTGCTAGACCAGTTACCAGTCAAGACCACAGAAGCAGATATTAAATAAAAACATTGTAGGAGTAAAGACGGTCAAAGTTCACAACCTGCTTTCATTAAGATTTAAAGGATGCAAACAAATTGATATAAATACCGGGGTGTAAGATGAAGATGCCAGCCAAAGGACCTAGTCATTTAACCAAACAAACAAAAAAGGATACAGGACTTCCAAATAGTAAATTATTTTTAAAACAAACAATAAGTTACTAATTATAAAAATTTAACACCTAACATAATAATCACAAAATCTCCAGGAATAACTAATTGTAAACAAACATGATAAGAAACAAAGGATCAGTCAAAAACAAAGAAGATAAAGTTGCAATCAATTAGTAGGAAAGGAAACAAACCAATTTTTGTGGAAAATAATGAATAAAATGAGTCCTACAAGTCCAATAGAACCAACACAGAGGTAGAATACTAAGTTTCCATGTATGCTAGTCTTCAGTCTTTCTGCCATGGTGAAATCTCCAGCATCTTCATAACCCTGAATAGTAGGCACCACAGCCCTGCTTAGAGAAATAGTTTAATATAAAATCTATGAGAATACATGTATCTTTTAACCATGAAGCTTCTAAAACATTTACTCTAGACCACAGCATTTTAATAAACGAAAAGTAATGAAAGTACAGAAGTCAAAGGATATTCCAAAATGCACATAGAGACGCAGCAAGAACAGTAGCAAATAAGTAGAGCTGACAAAAGAGCATTTGGCGGGAGAAAACATTCTACTGATTCTTTCTAGTTTACTTACCAAGTTAGCAAAAATGTACTCCAATAAGACAAGCTCCAAAAGAAAGATATGCCTCCACTGGAATGACCAATTATTGTCTGCATGGTGAAAAAAAGAAGCAATTCAGAATATATGCATAATTTCTAGGCGAAATCAAATGCCCTGAACTTCCTCCAATAAATTAAACCACTTTTAGGCACTGCACCATTTAGAAGTCAAAATAAGCGCTTAGGATTCATATACACCCCACCAATAAAGAATGCAAAATACCATTTCTGCATTATTTATGTTCTCTTAGTTTTCCTTTCTGAGATGCCAAAAGAATTATGAATAAGTTTTCATATCCAATTCCCGCTCATTGAACAAATCAAATTCAGCTTTGAATTTCCATTGACCATTCAGTATTTTCAACAGATGAAATTCACGACCTTAAATCCAATCAATAATTGAAAGAAGAAAAACAAAACTTATAACCCAGATAACGAGAGCATTATAAAAAAAAAAGATGGGTTTTAATCTAAGGAAATCAGTCTCACCGTCCAAATATCAGCAGGGACGAGGATGATGATGGAGAAAGAACAAAACCAAGTATATCCAACGGTGAAGAAGACGTAAGTAGGAACATCGGGACCCGCGAAATATTTCAAAGTCAGAATCACCATCCCCATTGTTAAAGGCAACGAGATCAAATAGAAAACCAACATCTTTCTTTGATCTCTTCCTCTGTCTACTTTACATAACACCACAACAATATGTTCCTTTTTTTTTACCGTAGATGAATATATGTATATGGGTAAAATTTCTCTCTCATTTTCTGTTCTCTTGACTCTTGCCCTTGGTGTTGTTTTCCCCGAAACGGTACGAAAGAGAAAGAGAATGAGAAAGGTTGGTTGCAAAAAGCTTTTTCTGTTTTCTCATGACGCTTTAATTTATAGGGAAGCTACATTAATGCAGCGATTGGCGTACCGGGTCAAGAGGCGCTTTCTTTTCTACGATTTCCGGGCCTTTTTCTTTTCTCTTGTCCTATTGTCTCATTATGTAACCCAACCAAGAGCCCCGCGCCAACTCTTTCGCAATTTGAAACAGTGTGGCCCAAACCCTACTCTTTCGCATTTTTGAAACAGTGTGGCCCAGCAGAATCTGTTCAACATTTTCAACCCCTTCCCCGCCAAGTCAATTGATTGAGCCACAGAACAAGGGGTAAAAGGGATGGAATCATCACAAAAAATTGAGTGAAAATCTGGTGATTGCACCATGAAAAGGATAAGGCACCCCACACCTTTCCTTCAAAAGGCCAAGGTCCCATGAACCAGAAGTAGAACCTAGCTCATGCAAGCTATTACACATACACAGAATAGCTTTGAAGTAGTAGTGCCTTTGTAATAACAGAAAGGCTGCCACATGACACTGCCATTTCATAGTATAAAACTACATTACCAAGCAAAACAAATAATTTAACAATCTCATTGTAAGCATAAGAGTTTAAATAGCTACTGCAGTGAAGGAAAATACAAAAATCTTAACATCAGTCCTAAAGTGATTTTTGCCCACCAGAGCAGCAATTGGAATCTATATAAACATCATTAACTCAGGCCTACTGTATGTGTTGTTCTGCTCATCTTCTAGAATAGGATAAGCTGCAACAAGAGCATCTTGAGCTCCAATATAGAGCGAATTATAAATCTTCCAATACACTTCCCTAACCTTCCGTGCAGGATGGAAGAGACCTTGGAGACAGTAGTTTAGCACAACTGCAGCACCCAAGGCCACCCTCATCCCTTCAATGGCCTCCATGACAGCATTGATGACATGAGGGGAAGTCTCAAATATGTTAGGCCAGACATAGTTCATCAAGTGGACTAAAGCATCCTCACAACCTAAACCTGCAACACCCAAAGCCATGTGCTTGACAGCTGAAGCTGCAGTCTGCCTGTGAACCAAATCTCTATCCATAAGGGCATCCTCAAGTAATGGAGTCACAGCATAGATGTAATCTTTTCCCATTTCACCAATATACTCGAACAGGAAGGAAAGTGATTTCAAGACACCATTCTGCACATTAAGTTCTGGGACACGGTACTCATTCATCAATGCAGGCAAAACTGTAAAAGGTGAACATGTTTCTGCAACAATTGCAATTGCCACCGTTGTGCAAACACGGTTCTGTCGTTCCTGCACCTTGAGATTATTTAATAAAGTTGCCAAGACATCTTGCGGGCCAATGGCTTTAGCAATATACCCAAAAGTATTGACAGTAGCTCTTCGAATACCCTTCTTGTGAGCTTTAAGCATCTCGAGAAGCTCAAAACAAATCCTCATCCACTCCCTGGCTGGGACAAACTCTGCACCTCGATCAGCAATACGGCCAACCAGATCAATACAGTTCTCCTGGACTTTCTCATGCCTATTTTTCAGAATTGGTGTCAACCTTGGAAGCAAATCCTTGATTGGAGGTGTCATTTTTGTCATACCAATAACATTGACAATTGCCTTGAGGGCTCCTAAAATAGATCCCAAAACTTCAGGGTACTCCTCTCCCAGATACTCGTATAGAACAACCCCAAGATGACCCATCAATTGTTCCTCTTGGCACTGTTTCATAACCACTGCAATTCTTGATATAAGATCAGCAGCCTGCTGCCTGACCTTGGCACTCTTGTTGTTCAAGCGCCATTTTATTGTGCCACAGATCTGTGGAAGATAAGGCTTCACTCTCTGCCCGAGTGAATTCACAACAGCACCAAAACCATTAAGCATCACATTGGCATCATCACTAGTCTGCTCTTGGAAAGCATAAAGAATACCATCAATCAGAAGTTCCTCCAACCTTGCATCAATGTCAGATGCACCCAAGTTTGCAACCACCTTCTCAATTGTTTCCATTACCATTCGTCTGTAGGGTTCACTCTCATCCTTAAGATCCTCCACTATTCTCCCTATAATATCAGCAACACCTACTTTGTTTGCCATCTCAACGGTTGTCTCCACAAGCTGCCTATAATTTCTCCTATCTAAAGCCATCCTTCTCACCCAAAAATTCCTAAAGAACTCAGGTAGAATATCATTCCTAATATAATCAGCTTCAACACCCTCCGTGCTCACACATTGCTTAACCACCTTAAGCACAATTTTCTTCATTTCTTCATCAGGGGACTGGAACTCACGGATAAGAATAAACATAACTTCTTTCGTATAGTAACTAGCATAAATTGCATCCATTAAAGGAATGATAAAACCAATGGCCTTCAAAAATGCAGCCAGTACTTTACCTCGGTGAGACCTAATACCCTTCCACAATGGCTTCAAAACCGAGTCAAAACTTTCAATACCATAGGGGGCAGCAGCCTCAGCAAGAGCAGCCAAAGACAAAGCGGTGATTGTCCTCACCTTCTGATTCTCATCATTCAAACCATGTTCTATGATTTCTACAAGGGACTTCAAGTGGGGAAGAACAGCACAACCAATCAAAATAGCAATCTGCTGTACAATCTTGATCCCAGTGTGCCTAGCTTGCCACGACTTCTTACTCTGACACACGGCTTTCAAAAATGGTAAAAGCGCAGGAATCCCAAGTGCAGAAGCAACAACACTAAATGCTCTAGCAGTCGTATTCCTAACATATTCATCAATGTTGTCAATATCAGGACGCATAGCAGCAATCATAGTAGCCAAACCAGCTGCCTTACTGAGATTTGAAATGATCTCTCTACCCTCCACACGTGCATAATAATCTTCATCAATCAACAAGGGTTCAATCACAACAAGAATCTTGTGCACATAAGGCCTAACCAACTCATCCAATTTATACAGCACCCTATCAATAACCTTCACCAAGAGATGCCTCTCTTGGTCTTCCAATGTAGGTTGCATAAGCAATGGAAGAATCCTATTAAACAATGCACTAGCACCAAATTCCCTTGCCTTATCAGTGAGCTGCCTCAAAGCAGTTTTCCTCTGTGGTGGTG